GGGTGTTCCACACTTCGGAGTTGGGTATGGCTGGCTGACGACGGCCAATAAGCCAGAAATGGCCATTCCAGTCTCCCTTGTCATTGTCGGCAATACCATTCTGCCTATATCATGCGCCGCTATGCGGCTGCTGGTTGGGCGCGAGAGAGAGCCCGTAAGGCACAACGGAACGAGCGAGTTCCGTAAGAACGATTGATGAGCGCCTCTCTACCAGTCCAGTTTTGTTTTGCAAGCCGGTTAGATTGACGGGCAGCAGTTCCTTGCAAAGGTACCTCTCATGCTTCCCTTGAGCTTTCCACACTCATCTGTCGAAATCATCTTTGTGAACTGAACTATGGACGTTTAAGAATTTGCTTCGTGGAAAGTACACCCAGGAAGATGAGTACATATGTGACATCGAGCATAGAAGCTTTATGCATAAGTGTAGGCTCCTGACAAAACACTTTCGAATACTCTCCTCTTACTCCAGAACCGCACCGTCATGTCGCAAACCTCTGTGATGATTTTCGCCTACTAACAATATGAAGTAGGCAGTACTTGTTAATGTAAGTGATCGACGTTCTGTCAGTCGTGCGGTGAAAACTACATAAACTGATGGGCTGAGGAATGAAAAAAAATTATTGGACAGGGTTTATTCACCCACCAAACAACGACTGGTCTAAATCTACCGACTGATCACATCATTGAAGAAACAAGACAGCTAACTTTTGTGGTGCACTTTGCTCTTTTTTCTTGTCACACGCCGAGTAGAGAGAAGACTTTGGAAGACTTTCAAAAAGCTCTAAAATTCCTCTTAGGCTCTGAGGACCAAAGCTGTGAGATGAGACATTACAGACAAAATAACGCATCGGTTGGAGCGGAAATCCGCGTTTTAAATGGCAAAAATGGGTTAAAAGCACTTTTAGGCACTTCCTGGCGATCTGCTCAGATGCCTTCTTCGGCACCTCTGACAAATTGTTTCAATGCTTTCTTTTTAACCCGCTATAGTTTTGGCGGTTAGGATTTATGACGGTCTGCGGAGAGCGCAGTGATCTTGCCTAGATTAGGCTAACGGATGGAATTAGGGCAAAGGTCAGGTCTGCGACTGGAGTTAACGCCAGGAATAGGTGATTAAGGTATGCTTAATTTAGGTATTACGACTATGAATGGGGTTAGTCTTAGAATGAACACATCCCCAGGTACAAAACTAATAATACAATTAGCTATCTAACACTAATTCTAATTCTAATCACCCAACTCGAACAATAATCCTCACCGTAAGTCCAGCCCTGGCCCCACTCATAGTGCTAATTTTTTAGATTTATTTTCATACTCATCTTACCCCATTTTTGAAGATCTCGACGACCTCAGGTGGGATTCGCACCTACGACATCAAAATCAAGGCTTGAGCACAGCCAACGCTCAAATCATCTAAGGTACGCGACCCCGAAGGGGGGTCATGATTTTGCTTAAATTTGGGTCAAGTTCCCAACCCAGTCTACTGCAACGTATGACATCCACCAATTCTGATACACTAAGTTGACTGCCCAAGCAAGATTTCCTACATAATCAATCTAGAATCTTCTGGACGACGACCAAATTCGCTAAGTTGATGAGCGTTTTGTCGAATTTGAATAATTAATTTGATCCAATTGTGAAAAAGACTCAGCTTTGACTGTGCCAAAACCCCGTCATTGCCGTCGGTGGTTCGGATCTCACCGAGGTCGCCAAATCGTTTCACGGCCGGATCAAAATGAATTATTCAAAGTTTGCTAAACACCCATTAATTGATTGAACCTGGTAGATTATAGACGGATTTCTCAGGAAATCCTGCTTGGGCAACCGGCTCACTGTATCACATTTGGTGGATTCCCTACTTTGAAAGAGACTGGGTGGGCAACTTGACTAAATTTCCGATTAACCCCATGGCTCCCGATGGGGCATCTAAATTAGTTGGTTAAAGCGTTGGTTGTACTCAAGCCTTCCCCTGTCATGGGTTCGAATCCCACCGAGGTCGCCGAGTTTTTCACAGTTGAGTCGAGGTGAATTATTCCAAACTGGAATGATATTACCGACAAAGACAAGGGAGACTGGAATGGCCACTTCTGGCTTATTAACCGTCGTCAGCCAGACATACCCAACCCCGAATTGTGGAACATATGGGGCTAGAACTCGCGACCTGTTAGAAGTCCACGCCTCTAACCACTGGGCCACGAGCCCGTTGCCCCGTCGGTTTCGATCGGGAATATACAATGGTAGATGGGCGCTCACCGATCGTTCTTACGGAAATCACTCGTTCCGTTGTAATACCATTCTGCCTATATCATGCGCCGCTGTGCGGCTGCTGGTTGGGCTCGAGAGAGAGCCCGTAAGGCACAACGGAACGAGTGATTTCCGTAAGAACGATCAGTGAGCGTCCCCTACCTCACGCTAGCCATGAATCTGACCCTACCCCCATTCCCTATTCTGATCTTCTGACGTACAGCAAACCGTTAGGTTCCCCGTCGAAGTTATCCATCCACTTTTTTTAAAATTGAGAACATAGTAACGTACAAGCCCAAGCAATTTATCAGGTGGTTCGTATGACGTCTCTTGCTAAAAAATATGGCATAGCATGTTCAGTTAGATGCAGTAAATGACGTTAAAGGGGAGCTCCAAAGACGGGGGAAGTTGCAATGTCCATTTCTGGCTTATTTGCAGGCGGCAGTAAGTCGAACCCAAATGCCACACTCTCACCTCCATATACATGAAGTGATGCTAATGATTTTCAGAAAAAGCGAAGATTGTTGTTTTTCTGGAAGGTGGGACTTTTAGGCTTAAAGGGAGATCTCCTAGAACGTCGAGTGAAGAGGTGTAAATGTGTAGCTGCTCTAAGTAACATTTACTAGGTGATCATTGCATGCATCTACGGTCGGCAAACTATTAGCGCGTCTGCGGTGTTCACCAGTCTTATAAGCTTGCCGGGAAACTTCCGTGATTAATGTCTGCCGACAAAAGTAATACTGGCAGTTCCAGGGGCACCAGGGGGATTTGAGTGATAAAATTTCCCGCGTCAACTTTATTTCCCACTGTTTTCCTTGTATCTCATAGGTTAGACCTCTAAAGTTTAGGAAAATAGAACAATTTGCCTGGGGAAGCCTACGATGCCCATCTCTTCAGAAACGGTTCTACGGTGCATGCATCTTCTAATAAAGTATAAAGTCAATAATTACCCTCTTTACAAAATCGCTTCACGTTCATAAAATGTGTGTTCACCCAGACGTAAGCAGTCGTTATAACTGCCACCGGGACCTCCATTGCTGACCATACCGGTGGCTTCCATCCTTCTCGGAAAGCTTCCTCGATGAATGTAATTTAGAATGAATATTTATTTATTTATGCCCGGAAAATGTGAGATGAGCTGCCTTCAATCAGTTCTGTGCACACTTTTTATGCGTCACATATCCAGAGTTGACCTGAATGACAGTTCCGTATTCTCCAACGCAGCATATCAAGGAGTAGGACGCACAGAATAAAACAACTCATTTCTCTAGTCTATTAGTTGAGGAAATGTCAGTTTGTCATGGTGTCAGGCTTTGGAAGTTTGTGTTCCCTTTAACCAGAAGCAGAATCCGACTGACGATACGTCACAGAGAATTATGGTAGTCTAGGATTCACTAAGTTCACAAACCTGTCGGTGAAATATAACCAGGAAGGCTACTGACAACGAGTAGGTATGCAGGAACAGTCTTTATTAGATTATCAGTCACGATCAACTAGAAATACCGGGATCCAACGCTCTTAGCCCCTGGGCCAACGCAATTGCGTTTTTCCGATATGGATTCTTACTGCGCAAGGCTTTTTAACAGTGAGGGAGACTGGGATGACCATTTCTGCCTTATTAACCGTCGTCAGCCAGCCATACTAAACTTCAGGCGGGGATGATCTGAGATTCGAACCGAAATTCTCTAGTCAATGGGCGTTAAGTAGTCCAACGCCCGACCACTGAATCATGGTACCGTTCTTCTGTTGGCTGTGGTCGGGAATGTTCACTATCGCGGGAAAAGTCGCGCAGAGATCAGGTTATTGGACGCACTCGGCCGCTGTGCCTTGAGGCTTGATCCAAAGCCTCCACGGACAGTCGCATAACGATCAGTAACAAATGCAGCTCATGCAGACCCGGTACTACGTATGGCTGGTTGACGACGGCCAATAGACATTGGCATCCCAGTCGCCCTTGTGTTTGTTGGTACCCCTGACCGCTATGCGAGTGTCTGCGAGAACACTTGGCTGAGCTTCAACGCACATCGGGACGGCCACGTCCCGTAGTCTGATTGCTGAACGCATAATCCCACCAGACTTCTTATTATTGCTTAAACCTAGCCTATACAATGTTCGAATGTAGTCCTTGTTTACTCAAATTTAATTTTATCAATGCCTCCTTACTCCATTTTAATTAGATAAGGCATAACCCATCCAGTATGTCTTATTAAAATGTATGTCTAATATGACACCTTCTGGTTGCGTTTACAGTTTTTGGATTATACAAATATATATAAATAAGCCCGAAACAGTACTGTATCAGTCTACCCGCATTCTGTGTCTTTCCTCCTCGCTGCTATTACGACTTGGCTGACTTCGACCTGATAATTGGTTGCTTGTTCGTGACCTTTGCCACCCATACGGAGCTTGTTTGCTTCGGGAAGTCAATGGATCGGTGTGCACCCATTCCTGATTGAATATATATATATATTGGGGGGGGGGGGCTGGTGGGGAGGGATAACGCTGTTACTTGACACTAGCAAATAGACAGACTGGTGTAAAGTTTAGAGGGATCGAGATTCGCCCACCTCCTCCATGATACAAAACACGCTAAAGCCAATGTTTGCAATAATAAATATGCACGAGTTGCAGTTTACACTGTATTGCTCAGTAACGTCTGCATGGAGGACGCGAAACTGCCAAAAGAATAATAGGCCAACCGCCACTTACAAGTCCAGTCTGCCTAAGCCCCCCTCCCCTCCAGTATGGACTCCTTCAGTCTACCGTAGTCGCCTTCGGAAGAGGCGCCTTTTAGTTGCAATCAAGGGTGAATCTGAGGGGACTGGGCTATCCAACAGTCCTAGATACGGCTCGCTGGACACCAGAGCGGCGTTCTGGTTGCTGCCGTTGTGGTTCTGCGGCAGACGCACAGCTCCAAGACTGTCAAGCAACTGCGCCCAACCGTCCTTGCCGAGGACTTCCGGCAGCAGCTGATACTTGCCCTCGGTAATATCCGTTTCGCTGTTGAGGTCACCATTCAGAAGGGCCTGATGCAACTCGGCAAACAGCGGACGTGTCTTAATAAGTTTGCCCACCAACGCATCATTAGCCTCATCCATGTCAAGAAGAGTTTGAACAGCGCTGTGGGTGGCCAGTAGGCTCTCCACTAGCTGTTTCCTTCGATTTGCCAACTCCATTGTAAGTTCGTGATGGCGGGTCTTGGTGTCCTCGAGCTCCTTCTTCAAACGACCCAGTTCCTCGAAGATGCGCGTTCCTATGTCCTGCACCTTGGTGGCAATAATACTAAGAGTGGCGGGAGCATCTTCAATTTTGCCCTTATTGGCGTAGAGAAGACCTCTGGCATCATTTGCCACCAGTCCGTCCATGCTCTTGGGTTTTTTAAAGCATCCAGTCGGCTCGTTGGCAACCAACTCATGATTGTCGTAGATGCCTTCGGTCCAGAGACCGATGACCAGGAAGCTGAATTCAGCATGTCTGTGGGAAAGTTCGCGTTGCAGTTTGGTAATCCACTCAGGACGTCCTTGCTCAGCCGGCGTCCCTCCCATCACGTAGCTTATATCCGAAGAGCCCTTCATTGCTGGTGTTGGCGCTCCAAGGGCCACTTCCAGGGTCTCCTTAGTGCTCTTTGGAATCCGGTATCGGTCAACATTGGAGGCCTGGGCGGTGTGACTGTTCTTCGCTTTACTCAGGTTGGATTGCCCAGACTCTATCCCAGCCTGCATACACTTGTCGAGGGAAATGAGTTGGTCAAAGAGACGAAGGTTAAACTTCTCTGTATCCTTTAGGGAGGCCATGAGATCGGCCACTTCTTCTCGAATGACAATAAGTTCAGTGATTGCCCGCGACAGGGCCTGCTCCAGACCATACATGGCAAAACGTAGACTCTCAATGTCTGCCGAGACCTTTTCAAATTCATCTAGCGAGTCCGCGCATACTTCCAACGCAGCCTGTAAATCCACCACGGGCTTCGACATTCGTCTTTTATCCACATAGATGTACGGGTAATAAGACTTTGCTAGGCGTTTTGAGGCCTCTGAGAACCTGGCCGAGGGCGGAATGTCGGACGAGCCGCCCGTGAAGCCTGATCTGAACGACATTTTGGACGAGTACTCGTGCCAGCTTATTCGTCCGGGCGCTTGGTTCCTTTCAAAAACACGTGAACACCAATCCACGCCCTAATCAATATTTCGCCGCATGAGGTTGACACACCCTCACCCGGCATGGAATGCTCGCTTATCGGGCGGGATGGAAACCCTGCGCAGTGGAAACTATTGGGAGGCGAGAAAATGAACTGCTAACCAATCGGGTGGCAGGAGGACTCAGGGTGGGCTATTGATTAATTGGAGAATGTGTTGTAGGGCTCTACGGAAGACAGACTGATGTCCAGCGTTTAAAATTACTCTCGATCTTGGAGCTATGTTAGCAGAAGCGAATTTTTCGGGACAAGGAGGTGATATTATTAAAAAAAACAGTATGTGACAACTGATAAAACATAAACTTTGATTCTGAAGTATGCAGTCGACTAGAAAGGATTGCTTAAATGAGGTTGTAATATTGATTTTCATGCATCATAATTCCAAGATGTCACGCAGGGATTTCGGATTTTGAGTGCACTTCTTTCCGATCGCCCGTAAAAACCACGTCAGGTAGATAATAACCACTTTAGTAGTATGACTGATTATATTACTATTCGACACCACTATAAATTCAAATATTCTCTAGAAAGGACACAAAATATCCCTCCTTATAGTCTTTGGGCAGTAGGTCGAATCTTCTTCAAATTTTCTACTTGAAAAATTTTATCTTTCGGCTTGAAAGTTTTCAATCGCCCAATGATTTTGAACCCAACCCAGCGTTCCATCTGCATTCGGAAGTTCCAAACTTCAAGCTGTCCGCTTTCCATTTGAAGAAAATCCTACATACAACTAGGGTGTTACTATATACAGTGAGTGACCGATCTCATGAAATGTTGGCTGAAATTCTGAAATGTGTTTCCGATTACGAAGGATTACTTGGGCGCGGTTGTAATAGTGAATATCGTGCGGCATAATCTTATAACATTTCGGACTCGCCAGGATGTCAGCTTTTGAATATACTGCTTTTCAATCTCCTATAGAAACCGTATTCGGTAAAAAATGACCACTTTTATCGCATGCATTTTTCCCATTGATTTTCGATGGTCTTGCAAATTCAATTATACGTTATAGAAACCATAAATAAATATGCTATTCATTCGTTTGATAGAGAATCACGTCATCTTCACATTTCATCCTCGAAGAAGGAGTATAATTTGGTTTTAAAAACGTTTCTACTTATGAGACTTTTTAAGACCGTGCAATGTCCATTCACACAGCATCGTACCTGTCCGTTTACCACTGTTCCTCATGAAATATACAGCATAATCGGCATCCATTGCGAAATTTTATGAACTCTATATGATATATTTTTAAAGGCATAGAAAAATATGTGATTTTTACGCGGAACGCATGCACCTTGTAGACTGAAATCACTAAGCGCTAACGCAAGGAATGATTGGGCTCCAAACTATTCGGCAATTAGAAAACTCTTTGAAAACCTAATTATACTCCGTCCTTGAGTTTAAAATATGTAGAAGACGTGATTCTCTATTAACTGACTGAAAGAACGCATGTTTTTTATGGTTTCTATAAGATATAATTGAATTTGGAAGATCATCGAAAATCCGGGAGAAAATGCATGCTACTTAAGTAGGCATTTTTTGCCGAATACGAATTCTACAGGAGACTGAAAAGCAGTGCATTCAAAAGCTGACATTCTGCCGAGTCCGAAATGTTATAAGATTATGCCGCGAGATAATCAGTATTGCAACCGCGCCCAAGTAATCCTTCCTAATCGAAAACGCATTTCAGAATTTCAGCCAATATTCCATGATATCAGTCACTCACTGTAGGAATCAGCCATTGTCACTGTCGCAACCGACGAGACGGCGACCACCGCACCTTCCACTCCTATCGCCCCCCCCCCCGAACGCCCCACAAACTACCGCTTTCATCACCACCGCTCCCTCATCAACAGTACGGATGCGATCCCAACCTGTCCTAATGGCGGTCGCACCTCTACATCGCGCATCGGCCTGGTTGGATACTTGCGAATCCATCGTCCTGAAACTGGCGAGTCGGCTCCTAGATCGCCAACATACCCTCATTGCACACGCCTCAACCGCCCACGCTGCCCACGCACATTCAGGCTGATCGGCGACATACACCTTCGTGAAACTCTACGGTAAACCACCACAGACTAGATTACATCATCACACATTCCTCTATCAACACATGCATCGCACACACATGAATACGTCCGACATCAGAGGAGCGGATTAGGCGCCCGTCACGCAAGAGGGAAGAGTGATCTTTGGCTCCCTACATGGTCTCTCTGATACCGTAACACACGTGAGATGAGGGCGACCCAGTCTCATCGTGCACGATCCGAGTGTGTTATATAAAGACCAGATCGTGTGTGTGGCACGCGTAGACGGACTGTTTTAATTCTGTCAGTCACTCCACCCAATCTCAACATCGACTGTTTGGTCGACTGGGGCAATCAATTGATACACTGGATAGGGAAAATAAAGTGAAGTCGGCTCTGGGGAAGGTCGTGGGTTAGAAGGCTGCCAGGATGGAGGGACAGGCTGCACGTCCCACTCACTTGGGATCCTAGTCACCCCCTCGTGTTTCTGTGGAAGCCTGGACCTTCGTGCGCGGAGCAGGCGTGGTTTGCACGTGTAGATGGGCTGCTTAACCTTGTCAGTCACTGCGCTCGATCTGGCCGCCGGTCTTCCTGACTGCAAAGATCGTGGGGATGAATTGGACATTGCGGTCAGCCCAGTTGGATGTTTGCCGGTTGAGTAGCTGACAGTCAGATTGCGATGGCTCCTTCTTTATGTGGTCTCTATGGCATTCCCACTCCGTGAGATCCGAGCCGGGTCTGACGGCACGCCTAGGGGGCGGCTCCGGCCGCGCCAGCCATCTGCGTCCTCTCCTGCCTCCGGTCTTCTTAACTCTGTCTTGGCACTGGATGCAACTGTTGGAGGAGGTGTAAGATGAAGAGAGAGAGAGAGAGTGCGGTAGATGCAGCACAAGTCCACTATCACTATGAACTAATTCACACATTAGTCAGCGTTCCTGCTCTCAAACTGCTGCGGACGTTGTCGGTAATGACGGTCAAACTGTAATACAGGCATCAGACGCTTGCAATGGACATAAACCATGTTGCGTGCTTCGTTAGGCGAAATACTAAAAGTGCAGATGTGTTGCAGGTCAATTGAAGCGAAAAGACGAATCCCAGGAAGTACTCGTGAAGAAGGTGACGAAATCGCTAGGACAAGAGCTCTATTAGCCTGACGTTTCGGATTCCCGCTCGGACCCATCATCAGAGACAAAAGCCGATACGGGTGGTTCATGCACAACGGGCTGCAGTATTTATAGGCTGCAGTCGCCATGCTACCGCATACATATGAATGTTCACGACTCCCCCTTCATCAGGGATCGTTGCACGTGGCGTGATGGCCGACATTCGCGTCGTTAATTGCTGCAATTTCATCACGTGCGTTGGATGTTGGTTTGATGATTGCTCGATCATCTGATCCACCGACCCTGGTGTTCGGAAAAGTGTTCACCTGTGCGCTTCCCGCGTGGCTAATTAATCCTCCTAGGCGAATTCTCAGCACCGAGTATGGGAGGGAAAGGTCAGTGCACTTGTTAATGGACTGGGAGCCAGTAAACCATGACTCAAGCAGCTCCCAGCTCATACGGTTGTCACCTCTTGCGAGAATTTCGGCCTCGTAGAATTTAAATGTGTGGCCGGATATCATCGAATGAGCTGCAACTTGAGAGCTGCTGTCATTTCTCCGCACAGCTGCAGCGTGCTCGGCTATTCGCGTTCGTAGTCATTTTTTGCAGAGTGCAGTTTTTGTATGCATCCGGAAGGAAGTTCATTCGAAAGCCGAAATCCTGCTGTAACTGACATATTATAAAATTATGTTGCGGGCTGACTAGTTTTACAACCCAACTTAATTAATCTTTTCGAAACGAAAACGCATTTCGGAATTTCGTCTGACATTTCATGAGTTAGCCCACCTACTGTACGTCGGCCGGGCAGCAACGTCAGTTTGCTATGCGGACGTTCCATGTTGCCTCTCAGTCATCTTCAACATTCTCTGCCTTAACGTATAGCGACTACCGAACTTAACGTCATGACATAGTGAATAACAGGCCTACACCTACATTTCTGCTACTCAACGATTGCGTGGGTGCGTAGTCTGGATGCAAGTCTGCCGACCCAGCATCGGACTCCAAGCCGGTGAATAAGACGACGCAGATAGCATTCTCTACAGAGGTCCGTCCACATTCTTTCCGATCTTGGCGGGAACCTACATGCGGGTGTGTACACGAAACCAGCGGACAGTCGTTGCCTCGGGCGGTGTCGACCTGCCATAGGCGGGTGAAACGGGACCTTCAATTAGGTAACACCGGTCATCAGCGTTTCTAACATCCCCTCCCCCCGCCTCCTCGTTTTTAACCTCTAATTTCCTTGTGTTCACCACTCCCCTCCAATCCCCCCCGTCCCTATGTGAAACTGAGCACGACCCGATGAGAACGGGTTGTCCTGAGTGAAAACGGAGAAGTCATATTCTTCCCCCTCTCCCCCCCCGCACACCTGAGAAGAAGGGCGCGGGGACGCTCTAGCGATGAATCAGTGTCCCCAGTTCACCGCTAGTTATGCCAGTTAGGTCAGTACTACGAATCGACCGATGTCACATAAATTTGCTTGCCCCTCTTAATACGGTTTATCCTCCATGATTAAAACTGACTGCGCACAAGTTGGACTCCAGTATGAAAGACGGGCACAGAGCCGCTATCTCTCACTGTGTGTGTGGAAAGGTGCGGATCCGAAAACGATGTCAGTCTTTACTCCAATCATCAAACTGGCTATGAGTGGGACTCCGAGTTTACTCCAAAATTGGACGTATATCCAGGTGTATCCTCCTTAATGGTTTTCTCCCATACATGTTAGATCCAAGCAGATTTCCTCTTGTGCGCGCAACCTTAATGCGTGCACT